ACACAAAAATCAGCAGCACAATGACCACAACATACACACACATTTCAATAACATGAAATATCAATGGCCTCAATTAGTCAATCAAAAGACAGATTGACCAAACAGATTGAGAAACAAAATCTATGTTCATACTGCCTATATGAAACTATTCTCAGTAAAAATCAATAAAAAATGAATGCAGAGAACAATAAAGAAGAAACTATTCTCTGGGTCTGGGTTACCTCACCCAATATGATGTTTTTTAGCTCTATCTATTTGCCTGCATATTTGAAAATGTCATTTTTTTCTGCTGTGTAGTACTCCATTGTGTAAATGTACCACATTTTCCTTATCCATTCTTCGGTCGAGGGGCATTTGGGTTGTTTCCAGGTTCTGGCTATGACAAACAAAGCTGCTATGACCATAGTTGAGCACATATCCTTGTGGCATGCCTGAGCATCCTTTAGATATATACCCAAAAGTGGTATTGCTGGGTCTTGAGGAAGATTGTTTCCCAATTTCTGAGAAATTGCCATACTGATATCCAAAGGGGTTGCACCAGCTTGCATTCCCACCAGCAATGCCAGAGTGTTCCTTTTACCCCACAATCTCTCCACCATAAGTTGAAAGACAATTATCATATGTACTCACTCATAAGTGGTTCTTAAATATGAAGCAAAGAAAACCAGCCTACAATTTGTAATCCTAGAGAACCTAGACAACAATGAGGACCCTAAGAGAGACATACATGGATCTAATCTACATGGGAATAGAAAAAGACAAGATCTCCTGAGTAAATTGAGAAAATGGCAACCATGAAAGAAGGTTGAATGGGAGGGGAAAGGTAGGGAGGGGAGTAAAGAAAAAGGTAAAGCTCACAATGGTCTCATGAGGTTAGCTGTTTCAATAACTGTCTGTTACCTGTTCAACAATATATTTGTTCATTACAAGAATATTTACTATACAGTTGATTTTCTATTATGAAGAACCTCAGCAGGGAAAAATTCTATATGAACAACATGAGACTGAATCATCAGCTTGGCAAGTCCAAAATTATGGCTTTTGCAGAAGAATAGAGACAGACAAATGGAGTCAAAGATGTATTTGAAGACCTTAAGTGAACAACTTCAATAGATATCCTGCTAATAGCCAGAGAATGGGTACATATTGTGACCTAGTTTTGGAAACCCACAAACTGTGCTGTGTAAATTAAAATGCATACCACAAAAATATTATGAACTTTGTTTTATGAATCAGATTCATTTCAATTTCAGATGTGTTTTCCAGTCCTATATTATACATATGAAGTGGATCTGGTTCAGTGCCCAACGAGTTATTATTCTTTATTATTTGTATATGCAGAGTTCTTCAAGATGACTGTATCACCTCCTCCCAGGAGTGCAATGTGATATGGAGTCAAAACTATAGAACTGGGATAAATTTCAATTTTTAGTGGCCTCCGGTGCAGATTGCCTTGGCGGGTTACTTAGTCTAGGGTCTGTAACCCACCTGGCAGTTCAGTTATTCCAGGGTCACGGAGAGGCACTATCTGGAAGGTAATGGGCTAAGAGAGAAGAAGGAGGCCAAACGGGGTTCTTGTCAAAGCCTCAGTTTATTAGAGACAGGATTACAGCTTATATAGGATAAGGTGTTTGGGGAGGGGGGCACAGGGGCCTGGACTCTTGCCGCGTGGTTCAAGTTGGTCACATAGGCCAGGTGTTTAAGTTCGGTTAGGTCACGTAGGGCAGGAAGTCACGAGTTGGCACACCTAGTTCTCTAGATAGTTTGGAATGTGGGGCGGGTTTCACTAACAGATAGCTCTCTATTAACAGCTAATTGAGTGTGGGGTAGGCTCTGTCAATAGAACAGTTTCTCAATACAATTGGGGGTGTGGGGTTCTCTGCAGACTCCCCAGGGCAATGGTTCCTGTAATAATTTTTAGGAAGAAACGGCTCCTGACACTCCGGGGCCTTTCTGACGACAACGTACAGAGAGTTGTATCTATATATGGCATTGGGGTTTTTATATAACAACAAAAAGTTAATACTATAATTGTTTGAATTAGAATATCATAAAACTTCATAAAGACCAGAAACAAAGGAATGTCAGAATAAAGCCTAGGTGGAAAAGCAAAACATCAATAAAATTCCTCAAAAGCAAAGCAAATATCAAGCTAGATCCTAAATAATTACACTAAATATAAAAAGCAAAACATTTGAACTGAAAGAGAAGCACTATGAAGTGAGTCTAGAACTCCACCATTCAATACACATAATTATTTAAAAAATGACGTTTTACTGACAAATGCAGACTATAAAATGAAAGTAAGGAAAGGAACTATATGCAATGCTAATACCCACCATAAAAACTAATAAATTTGCATTACTATCAGATTTTTCTCTTTCAAGCTACTTATATCAAATAATTAATTCAATTGAGAAAAAGAGAGAAAGGGTCTCTTTTCTTCAAGGATGTGGGTCCTAAGAAGTTAGTCAGTGGGATGATACCACACTGTGCACACAGATGGATCACTAGGTGGACTCACTGGATATTGATTTAATACACACACACACACACACACACACACACACACAGAGTACATGAAGCTGGAAGGGAAAAGTGGGAAGGAGGCATTGGAAGAGAAGAAATGGTAGTGGATTGGATCAAACACATTATATGCATCAATGAATATTACATAAAATATTTAAATAGAAATGAATTGGAAAATGGGCAAGGATGAGGGAGCATGAGTCTCATGGTAGATGTCCACTGATGGTTTGAAATCTTCCTTCTCTCCTGAAATCTTGCACATCTCCTTCTGTAAATTGTGTTAGCTATACGCAAAACATATCCTTAGGCTATGCGTTACCAAACTTTAGATCAAAATACTTTCTAACTTCTCCTTTTACTCTACCCTTACCTGTGGTTTACTTGAATGTGTTACTTAATTTTCAAATACTTGGTGATATTTTGCTTCTTGTCCTGCATTTGACGGATTTCTACATCACTTTGTGGCCAGCAAACACATGGCTTGTAACTCCAATCCTTCAGGTTCACTGGTGTATTTTGAACTGTCTGAAACTATGGTCTGCCTAAAAGAACGTTGAACACTGGCACAAAGCACACTGCATTGGTGAGTGTAATGATCAGTACAGATGTCAATTTGGTCTAATTGGTTGCTCTAATCTAGTCCCAGCTTTTACCTTGTAATATTATCTACTTGGACGTGAGCATTGCATCTTTAACTCTGATTGTAGATTTATCTTATTTATTGTCTCTGCTTTTGCTTCATTCATTTTTTTTTATTTTCTTGTTAAGTGCACAGACAGAAAATTTCATCTCTTCTGGACCAGGGACCCTTTACTCATTGTAAAATGCCTCCTTTATCTCACAGTACTACTTGTTTCGACTTAGTGTTTAATCTCCTTTTAGTTCCAGATGTCTTAAAGCTGAAGTGGGAAGAAAAACTTCTCTTTGAGAAGAATGCCATTGCTATTGGCCACAGTCAACACTACCTTCATTAGACTACCCAACATCCACCCATTCAAAACTGCTGGATACCAATGTGTCCAGGTCAAGCTGTTCCCATGGTTTCTGTTTCTCTGGGCTGTGCTTCATTGATACTCCCCCTAAGAAGTCCATGCTTCATGTAAATTTTATTTACTGTTTTCTTAAATTTAAGCCTTTCATGGCGTGTGTGTTATAAGTATGTTCATTAGTCAGCCTAGTTCCATCTGCAGATGTTCCAGTCTACCGTTTCTTTGATGGTGAGTCATCCCAGTTCTTTCCAGAACAAAAGATGTCTTTTCTCTATACTGCATTGTCATTGGTGATTATCTAAAGTCACTGAACCTTCACAATTCTGCTTGAAATAGAGAAGTTTATTTCATATTTTAAGGGAAGGATTAGTATTTGAAAGTGGTAGTTTATGTGTCCTTTTTGTTTTTTTTTTTTTCATTTCATCAAAGTCACTATCTTTATATCCTACCAGAACTCCCCTTGATTGGATGCCCACTGACAGCAAAGATGTGTCTGCATAGGTGATGGCTGTGGTAGGGGCGCAGTGAGAGGGCACTGCATCTGAATTTTGAAAGCAGGCATAGATGCTTCTTCTCTAAGAAGGAATCTACAGGAAAACACATTGCTAATAATTTTTTGTTCTGAGTTAAACAAGGGGTGGGCTGGGGGTAGAGATGAGGAAGAAATGAGATAGAGAGAGGGGAGCGGAAGGGGAGGAAAGTGAGAAGCATAATTCAGATCAAAAAACCATCTGGCCAAAAGGGTACTACTGAACTTCAAAAAAATTGATTCTCTTGTTCTGGCTTTCTACAAAAATACTAATGAGGAAATGTCTGAGAAGGCAGAGTATTCATTGCCTGTAGAAGGAGTAGCAGGCCTGCTTTTTGTCCCTTCTGCATGGTTAGCTTTACATTAGAAACAACAACACACAAACTGTATTGATTTAAACACTGTCTGGCACATTAGTTTCATCCTCTTATTGACTAATTCTCACATCTTGCTTAACCCATTTCTAATAATCTGTGTACCACCACGAAGTGGTGGCTTACTGGGAAAGATTCAGCATGTCTGACCTGGCGGCTGGCTCCATGATTGCCTTCCTGGTCCGACAAAACACACTTTAAAGATCCAGTCTTTGGGTTTTGACTATGTTTCAGGCAGCAGGTCTACTTGCAGCTTATTACGCTTTTACACTCAAGTTTTAACAGCCTCCAAATTTAATAGTTTTATCATATGATCATTTTTGCAAAAGAAAATCACCCTTTCATTATTCATGGTCTATTTTTCTTTAGGTTAGGACTAAACACACCACAGATTCGCTTAGAAACACGAGGTGTGCTCTAAATAGAAAAAACACATGGATTTCCTTCAGAGCTTTTATCCTGCACTGACCACCAGAGGGCGACGTTGTACAGACTCGCTGCCTCATTGATTTCTGCAGTTGATCCCCACTTTCAACTCAGTTGCTACCCTGTATCTGACAGAGTCCTTAGAACATCTTATGAGTGAAAAAGTGAAGACAGTCAGAGGCCTGAAAGTTCCCAGAATTAGGACCATTTCTGCAGGTTGTTTGTTTTCTAGAATTTATCTAAAGAAGGAAGGTGTCTCGTCAACTTTTTGTTCTTTGTCTCCATCTTCAAGAACTGGGAACGGCAGCCACTTTCCACCATGTGGCAAGCTTTTCCAAAAAGGCACTGTAAGTGTCTCCGGTGCTCATCAATGCTTAAAGTCCTCATCTCGTTCCTAGGCATACCTTTTTTCCTGGGTGAGTAAAATGTCCTGATTATTTTAATATGCACATGATTCACTGCTTTTTTTTTTCACTTGAATTTTAGTAAGAATAATTTTCTCCATGAAATCTGCATCACATTTACTGACTTACCTTTGATTCTTTTTCAGGAGACATCCAAGCACAGTCAGTTACACAGCCAGATGCCCATGTCACTGTCTGTGAAGGAGACTCGGTGGAGCTCAGATGCAACTACTCTTTTCCTGGAGCTCCTTACCTCTTCTGGTACATGCAGCGCCCTGGCCAGGGCCTCCAGCTTCTCCTCAGGTACTTTTCAGGAGAAACTCTGGTTCATGGAGCAAATGGCTTTGAGGCTGTTTTTCAGAGGAGTAACTCTTCCTTCCACCTGAAGAAAGCCTCTGTGCACTGGAGTGACTCGGCTGTGTACTTCTGTGCTCTGAGTGCACAGTGTCTGAGCCTGCAGGGGGAGCTGAATGCAAACCTGTAAGATGCTGGGAGGGCTGTAGCTGACTGACTTTAGATCAGCCATGCTCCTGTAAGTAACCTAAATAAACTTAAAGTTGGACTTCTCTGGAATCATTATTTTGGTCTATCATTGGTGCCCTATCTGCAGTGTACAGACATTTGGTCACGAATCCCATGTAAGGTGACATATCAGCATAAAAAAGAATAAAATGATTGCTGAATCATGGTTCCTTCCTTTATGGTAGTTTTGTAGACTTCACTTTCTACTGACTGATTATTTCCAAGAGATTTGAAGATACAACTCAGTTCCACATAAACATTGACTGCAGTTGGTGCCTCTGTAGTGTGCACTAGAGGGAGAAGTGTTGACTTCTTTCCTTATCAGACTGAAGGTTAGTGTTAAGGAAGCATGACAGTTTGCACTTAGTGCCCCAAGAGCCTCAGAAACACTTTCCATCTGTGTGGTTAGTTTAGTCAACGTGACTCAGGGTAGACTCACCACGAAGAGACTCTCAATAAGGAGTCACCTGGATTAGGTTGGCATGTGAAGACACAGCCTGAACATGGGCATAACCATATCCAGAGTTTGCCCCTGCACGCTGAATAGAATGTAGAGAGCGAGTAGAGCATGGCACGGAATCATTCTGGGCTCTTTGTTCCCAATTATGGGTGCGATGCGACAAGTTCACTCAAGCTTCTGCTGCTGTGACTTCCACACTATGAAGGACTTTAACCTGGAATTGTCAGGTCAAGTGAATCCTCTTCCTTCTGAGTGATCATGCCCAGGCTGTCTCTTTTGTCACAGCAACTGGAAAGGGAGCTGTAATGCTGTCATTGCTCCAGTCCATGGCTGCTTTCTTACATTGTGTGCAGAAAGTAAAGACACAGAAGGCAGGGAAGAACCAGAACCTGACCTCAACAAATAAAACAAATTCAGTGATGGATACACAATCTAACAAAGGACATGGAGGTCTGCAAGGAAGGAGGGAATACTTGAAGTTTATAGAGGGGATTATAATGAGGAATCATGGGCAGCTGCAAGGGGCTGCATCCAAGTCTGCAGCCTGTCATTCCTCATGTTGTCTGCTCATTTGAGACAGACTATTTGGAGAAGCAGCCTGTATTACCAAAGCGTTTCCTTTCTGGAGCTCACTGATCAGGGCTGGAGCAAGAACAGCTGTGACCTCATAGAAATTCTGTTCATACACCTAAGGCACAAGATCATATGTGAGCAATGCAGTATGATTTCTTCTTCTGTAAGTGTGACCAATGTTCCATAAATACACAAATTAGAAAGTGGAACCCCAAAGCTTTAGACAGTTATATTTGCTTTATGTCAAATTACAGCATCCTTTAGGTATATTTATCCAAATTAATATAATTAAACTCAAATACAAAATTTCCATTAAAATTTAAAACATTTGCTAATTAAGTTATCATTGTTTTTGATTTTCTCCTCATTGTTATTCCCTTTCATTCCTTTTCCAAAATTTCATTTCTAATATATATGTGTATGTTAAGATAGTGTAACTCTGTGTTTTTAAAGTATATGTCTGTAATAAAATATTGTATGCATGATTGTAAGGTTTGCTGTTTTTACTAAAACAATTTGGAGATGTGGGAAATGTATAGCAATCTATTTCTGTGTTTAAAACTGCTGTGAATCATTTCAATTTAGGAATATGCAATTCGACACTTGGATTGGCATTTGGAAAGTATGGTGCCAGCAGAAGTAATTAAAGTCTCAATCAGAAGATAGGTGCACAAAGGTCAATAGGTCACCACCAGTCATGTTTATACTCCTGGTTCTGCCTTCTCCAAAGCTCAGTCTTTCTTTATCCACCTTTGTTACCCCTCCTCTGAAGTCTAGTTATCAGCCAAGAAGGACCAAGACCAGCAGCCCCCCTGGACATACAAGGAGTTTGCTGCAAACAGAAACCAATACTTACTGTCACAGCTATAACAGTCACTGAAGTGTAATCTTTAAATATCCAAGATTCTTTCACAGTCCTGGTCCATCTTTTGAACTTGATTCCTGCTGCTACAGCAGTGTTCACTGTGATGCAGCTGATCTTGACCTTCACCTGGGTTCTAGAAGAAAGTTAGAAACTTAACCTAAGTTTTCCATGAAGAAGAAAAGATTTTTAAAACCTTTGTTCAAGGAAACATTTTCACTCTTTTATAACAAAGACCATAAATGGAATATAATTCTTGCTATTTCCAAGTTTATATGTGTAAAGAACAAACTTACACACTCAGAGGTTTGCTTTGCTATAGGATTTGCAATTTTAAAAATTTCCTTGTGAGGTTCATCAAGACAGCTGAGTGGGTAAAGGAATTTGTCACCAACCCTGACAACCTGACTTTAGTCCCTGGAATCCATGTGGTGGACAGAGGTAAGTGACTGCACAAATTGTCTTCTGATCATTACATATATTGTTATGTGTGCACAGACATGTTAGTGAATAAATGTAATAAAAACTACTTGTGGCTGTAATATTGCTCTTGAAGATCCTCTCACTAATTTCCATACTAGTCAACAGCATAAAAGAGCCACTGTGTCCTCAATCCCTTGATGTTCCCTCCAGCACCCCTCTTCATTACTGCCTGTATTTTCTTTATTTTTTTATGTGGTCTTTTGTTGTTGTTGTTTTTTAAGACAAGGTTTCTCTGTGTAACAGCCCTGGCTGTCCTGGAACTAGCTCCTGTAGACCAGGATGGCCTTGAACTCATAGAGATCTGCCTATATCTGACTTCTGAGTATTGGTTAATGTATTTCAGATAGGCATTCTTCATATCTTTCAAAGACTACAGAATATGGCATTTAAAATATTTTAATAGCTTAAGGCTTTTTATGACAATGAGACATGTCTGCTCCTGGCAGCACCAAGCTACTTCAAGAGGAAGATGGGCATCGAAGAGGCTCCTTATGGAGTTGGTTAGCTATTTGGGCATGAAACTTCTTTTGCCTGGACTGTTGCATAAACTGGACACAGAGAACCCGCAGAGAGAGGACTACTGAACATGCCTAAATGTGAGATGATGTTTCAGGGTTCCTGATTCATGAAAGAGTCTGCGAGACATTCTGCAGGACACAGAAGACAGTGAATGAACTGCCTTTGAAATTTCCTGCCTCATGTAAATGTCTGCCAGATACTTTGGGCCTTTAGGCCAAAGATGGATGCCCCAATGGTACAAAAGAACTTTGGGTGACTGTACAGGCAGCAAGATATCTCTATCATCTCTAGAGTTTTGGAAGTTGCTTATTTCTTGTTTACTTAGGTAGTATTATATCCTTCTGGAGTATTTGATGGAGTTGAAGAATAGATAGATAGTTATTGTTTTCCTTAGTTATGATAAAAGGTAAAGTAGATATAAATATTGTAACTGTAATTCTTGCTTGATAACTGTTTTGTTATATGTAATTTTACTATGTTAAAGTTAAAGCCTTTCTTTTTATTTAAAAAGAAAAAGGGGAAATGATGGAGGAGAGTCATCTGTCTATGTGTTAATTTCATTGGTTAATAAAGAGACTACCTTGGCCTTTGATAGGACTGATAAATAGGTAGGTGGAGTAAACAGAACAGAATGCTGGGAAGAAGGGAAGTGAGGTCAGACACTATGGAGCCAGCCACCAGGTCAGACATGCTGCATCTTTCCCAGTAAGCCACCACTTCGTGGTGTCACACAGAGTATTAGAAATGGGTTAAGCAAGATGTGAGAATTAGCCAAGAAGAGGCTAGAGCTAATGGGCCAAGCAGTGTTTAAACGACTACAATTTGTGTGTTGTTATTTCGCAGCATAAGATAGCTGGGCGGCTGGGAGCTGGGTGGCAGGAACGCAGCCCGCTGCTCCCACTACAACTGCTTCCTTAAGAAAACACAGCATCCCGGCCTTAACTATGCAGTTTGTGTCTGCACCTTTAAACACATTTAGTAGTGGCATTTCAAATGCATTTTAATAAGTTAAGACTGCCTGAAGATCTGAGAGTAAAACAGTCCCACTGGTCAGCTTTACAGACCAGGTTATGGTAACACACCTTTAATCCCAGTGGTGCATGCATTGATCCCCAACTCTAGAGAAGAAAATAATACAGGGTGAGATGGCTCTCATTCTGAGATTCCTGAAGGTAGGATCATCATTTAAGACTAAAGTCAAGGTAAAAGACAGTCACTGGCTATTTTGCTTTTTGTATCTTCAGGTTGAACACTAATTTCTGACCCTGAGTTTTTATTAATCATGCTGCACATTTACTTTTTTATTGTTCTTTCTCTTCACTATTAATTAAAAAAGCCATCAATTGCCTAGTAAGGCCTGGATGTTGTGTTTCCTTAAGTAAGCAGGCAAGCAAGTAAGTCAGTAAGTAAATAAATGGATAGACAATTGATAGATAGATGATAGATGATCGATAAATGATATGTCTACAGTGTCTATTAGCTTATCATATCAACACAGCAGAGTACCTGAGGTAGTCCTGCTTCCTTAAGTGGGAATTGCAGAATTGCTTGTTCATATCCTCATAATCAGAAAGTAGAGCTGGAGCCAGGAGTAGAGCATCAATAACTTCAAAGACCCACATGCCCTGGTATATACATTTACCACTATGCCCCAAACTTCTCACTTCTCACTTTTCTTATGACTGAATAACTTGACATCCAAACATATCACTTTAATACATAGTATTCTGCCTTTGACACTTGTAGTAATATCCTAATAACAAAGCCATTTACTCCAATGTCAAATATCACCATAGTTGAACATTCTTCGCATATTCTTAAAAGATCCAAAGTTCCTTCTGAGATTTAATGAAACTTATTAACTCTGAGTCCTTTCATTCTGTAATAACAAAGCCTAGTAGTGTCAGACAATAGAGCCTCAAAATTTTTTTCTAAACACCTGGACAGTGTTTAGAAACTTTCATGAGCACCTGCATGACTCCTCTGCTCCCAGCAGCTGTAAGCATTAGACTTTGATATCAAGCTCTACATGAACTCTGTTCCTGATGGACTCTAACCAGGTGCA